GAGCATTATAGCGTGAAGAGGAAACTACGTTATGGCCTTTTTTCATTCACCTGCCAGTTTTCTCAAGATCATGAGCAATGAACGATTGCGAAAGTCAGCGGTTGGGATAGTTCCAAACATTTCAGTGGAACACCCCGGATGCTGTAAAAAAAAATAGACGTCTAAAGAAGGGTTCAAGGTCTTGTATAACTTTTAAACTTTCGAATTCTCAAAAGACTGAAATTAATGTTTTATTGTGGTAATGTTCTTTGTAAATATACATTGAATGCAAACAACTCACTGGCATTTTCTTTTTAATTATCTTTTTTATATGAAAAACTTCACCGATTTAATTTTCATGTATTAGATTGTCGTGTTCATTTTTTTTGTTTATTGCTACAATTTAACATCACTATCTTGTATCCAGACGTCAATGCACCTTACAAATGTTAGACAGTTAACAGCTTCAGTAAATGCTTCGTAGAATTCCTCAGGAAATTAATAGTCAGTGGCCCGGAAGAATTCTACAGACGTGAAGTCGCGCTTTGTCTTCGTCGTTTAATCGTTGAACTGTTATATTTAATACAGACGAATTCTATCACAATACCTAACAAAGGTGTAGCAATATTTCTCCTATTTGTTAATACAGATAAATAACGACTAAAAGAATAACAAAATCATTCGTAAACGAGAGATTTTTATGGACTGAAGATGTGTTTGATCTATGTATGTTATGATAAAATTACTAAGTTTTTTTGTGATTTTTTTTTTACTTTTCTGGTTAAAGTAAACAATGAAACGCATTATCATTTCGAAGAGAAACAAAGGGATGCGCTTTCTTCACAAAATGTGTTCTATAAAAGAAACAATTCCGAGACCGTAGAAGCCAAAGCACTTTGTACAGCATTCATTGTCTTTAGACTTCAAAAGTTTACTTTGTTCATTCAAATTATAGTTTTAATTTTATTTTTTGAATGAAATTAAAATCATCGAAATAAAAAATTAACAAATTTATAGGTTAACACTTTTATCAAATTATAAGTAAAATATTAAATCACTCTTTTTTAGAATTTTTATTTACGGTTTTAATAAACACATTAGTGCAAAACAGTCATCAGACAGCGCTGTCATATTTGGTTTTTAAATTGAAATTGATGGTTTTTGATTTGATTTCCCCCGTTCAGTATTCATACAAAGCACTAAGCGTAAATTGAATTTTAGATTTGAACCAACATCACCGGAAGCCAGCAAAAATTACATTCTATCACACATTGCCTTGCCTTTGTTTGGATATTTTGAATTTGACATGACAATTTTTAATCTCATTCTCATTTTTGAACTTCCATTGTAATATTTTTTGACTGAAAATATACTATCAGGTTTTTGATCAAGGCAATTGCAAAAAATGACATTTTTTCTTTTTTTATTAAATAACCGCGTATACCACACTCTTATACGTACGTACATAAAATTAAGATTTAAAACATCGAAAACAATTAAATATGAACTACTATATTTATAATGTAATTTTTGATATATGTGTTTTTTTATTAAAGTTTTTTTTTTATCAAAATTAAAGGTTTTTAATTTACAAATAAGTTACTCTAGAAGAATGATGATGGATGTGTTATACGAGTATATCTATTAAATACCCTTGTGTGTTTGTCTTGCTTCTCCTGTCCCACAGGGTAGCCTGGAAGAGATCGCTCTTAGCGATAAGGACACCCTTGCGCAAATCTAGTATTACTTAATTTAAGCTTTCTTGTATTATATGTACAAAAGTATTAAATAAATGATCCGTTATAACGTTATATTGATAAACGTTTTGTAGACAACAGAATAACACAGAAGTGCCAACTATTCATATTTCACTCGATAAAGTGGATTTGTATTCGACTAGATTCTAACTACAAAGCTGTGTCATAATTTTCCAGTTTAAGTTGTATATTTGAACTTTAGTTTAGTTGTGCAAACTTATAATAGGATACTGTTGGATATAACGTTACATATAGTTAACATTAGGAAAATACAAAACTCAAATGCTGTAGAAACAGTAATAAAACTAAAGTCGTTTTTTATTGTTGTACTAATATAAAAATAAGTAGCTTATGTATTCTTCCAGACTATCCTCTATATCTATGCCAAATTTCATAGAGATCCGTTTAGCAGTTTAGGCTACAAACTCTAACAAACATCCATCCATCTAAAGTTTCGCATTTTTAATATTAGTAAGATTATTTTACTAATAAAAAATACATTCCCCTCATGAGTATCCACTCTATATATTAGATACTCTTACAATCAGTTTGTGAGCTTCTCTCAGAAAAACACATCCTAAAAAGTCCTCCATTTCATAGACAAAGCAATGGAGTAAACTATATAAACAAAAGACGGCCGATGTCATTGTCAAACACACACATTGGAGTCGCTCTCTATTAACTAGAATTCCTTTCATTCGTTATCTTGGAAGTTTCTATAGCGTAATTTGATGTTCCATACGCAGTAATATTACAAATATCTATTATTATAAAGAAGAAAGGTTTGTATTTTATTTATTAAAATAACTCCAAAACTACTGCACAGATTAAAAAACTCTCTCACTATTAAGAAGCTATGTTATCACTGAGTAATATAGGGTGTACATTTACTCTTTTTTTAAATTCACGCGAGCGAATTCGCGAGCAACAGCTAGGTGTTATAATAAATGAACAATAAAGTATTAAATTTTACTATATTTAAACTACCTCATGACAGTAAAAAAAGTCACTTATGATGTATTCGAATTTAATAGTTAATAAGGTGCTTTTGATTTAGTCGTATATCCGTTTACCGATCAATCGTACCAATGGGATACTTCTCCATTGCCACTTGATCAGTATCGCTCCAACGAGAAACACCAATAAATCGTAATAAACGACAATAGAGCAATTAAAAATGTCCATTCATCAGCTCTGTGTATTTAGAATTTGAAAATAGTTCTAATTTCATTCTCCAAAACAAGCGATAGTAAAATCCTTTGTGTCGTGTTAACGAATTGCAAATACATCGACACAATTGTCAAAGGAAGGAAACAGATTTAGTGTTCTCTTGAATTATACCCGAAATACGATTTTATACTTGAAGTTCCGACGTTAAATTGGATTAAGTTCTACCAGATTTTAGATTTATAGTAGAATTAATAAATAAAACGAAGACTTTACATTAAAGTAGCTATTAAAATAGACAATAAAATTAAGAATTAAATAATTACGCTTTTAAAACCACGCTCCATCTATATCTATACTATTATAATAAAGCGTAAACACACACTTCTTTGTTGCCTAAGATGTCAGCAATTACAACATATTTTTGAATAATTATCATTATAATAAAAAGCCCTACACTTACGTCACGCTTTAGGCTATATATTTTCACGACATTAAACTTAGGCGGGTAAATATTTTGGATAAAAACCCCAATGTGGGAAAGAGACCATAAGTTGCTGCCAACATCAAGGAAGCGAAATTGCTATCATGTCATGAAATTGACAAATGTAATCAATAAAACAATTTTCATAATTTCATGCGAATGGGAACAGCTATCTTGATAAATAGTGAATCAAATATACAATTTATATACATAATAGTGGTATGTAAGAATAAGAGTTTTTTGCTACAGTTGCTTCTAATGGCGCGCATACGCCTTAAGTTTATAGTCGGCACATTATGTTACATTTTACACACATAAAATGAAATGATATTATGATGATGCAATGCACTAAACTCTGCCGCTACATTTAAAAATATGAGCACAATTTTTTTTAAATAATTACTTCATAATAGCATTGCGTATTGAAAACATAACGCTAAAGTTATATAGGGAATCAACATCTAAATTGAATGGTAAGGCTGAATTGTTCTGCATACAATCTGGATTGAAATGGATAAGGACTAATATAGTCACAGCAAGCCTATCGTAGACAAAAGAAGACAATCTTTCAAAAGTCCACTAGATTATGTCAACGTGGGATCTATCAGGGAGTCTTATGTAAAACTGTGTCTTACGTAAAAAACAATTGCATATTATTAATACTTTTTTTTAAATGATAGTCGAAGTTCTCGAATGTTCCCGCTGTGTTCTTATCGGCGTGAAATCGATATGCAGATTGAATATCGATACAGAATTAACATCGCAGCGTCCGGCGGTTAATATTTAGCCGCTTAGGTCTGCCCCGGAGAATACTGCCGTTTATGTCATATATTTCAAACATATTGAAGTTTAATAATAATCACGTAAACCAAACAGAATTATTTAGTAGAAAACAAATGAATACTTCTTTAAAAATACTTTTGTAACATTATACTATATCCTTCTTAATGTGACATCTTTTGAAGGTCGGGGATCATTAGGGTTATTTATCGGAATCGCGATTTTGAAAACCGAACTGGTATTTTCCCGAACCACTGGCGCATTGTGCCAGGATAGTCTTCTTCGATATTTCATATTAATATTAATTACTCATTTAAAACCTACGTAAGTTTAAAACGAAAATGTTTCAAATACTGTAAACGTTTTTATTAGTCACACATGATTACAAATGTTTTAATATATTGTCTGTTTTGCTTGCTCGCTCTTCGACCAGTGTGTAGTAATTGTATTGTGTATACAATTGTACCTATGTATGTAACACAGATCCAGTGTTTGTAGGGCTCGTAACATCTGGCGACGTGTTTACGGTCAGGTTATTGTGTCCGAGTGTACACGATACCGGTACTTTGAAGCCACAGTAAATACCCACACCTTGACTAAACTATCCACAACTGTTTAATCTTGCTTTGATTCCTGAGCTTATATGGAGGTATACTATACTTACTATTCGATTTTTTGTTATGCAACTAAACAAGTTGCATTGACTGCGAAACAATCGACAATCGCACCACAGTTTAGGCAAAGTATCTGTTCCGTTTACTAATGTCTTATTTCAAAACACGAATAGATGGAGTTTTATAAAATTCATATTTACAAAGGTTACAAATACTTACTATATTCTTAGATGCCTCGACACAAAACTCCCTGTAAAATATAGACGGACGGCCAACAATACTTGTAAATTACTTTAAAACACACAAACTGAACAATGTGACAACACAAATATATCCAACGTTTCGTTATGACGACTAGTAAAACACTAAGCTTGTTGGCGACTGAACGCCGATACTGCGATTGAGCGCCCGAGCCACTCCTTGCCATGTATTTTATAAAACTACCCCCCACTATTCTTTTCGTTTCCTAATAATATTGTTTTAAATAAAGATAAACAGTAAATAACACTGATTATCGAATAACTTTTAAGAATATATCAAAATAAAAAGCTAACAATACGTTATGATAATATCAAAGTAGTGTGTGCAAATTTCATTGTATCCCAATTAACTAAATAGATTAATTGCTCATTTGACTTCAAATTATAATATACTTAATAGAACGTGTTACAATTATTCTTTGGAACATAAAACCTATAAGAACATAGCTACATAAGGTGTATAATTCTAAATCTGGTCACTTCTCAAAACTATTATGAAACAAAAATTTTCCTCAAACGATACTATTCAATTTTACTAATTTTATACGCTGTCGTTATATAATTTCCATATTAATCAGTTCGAGTTAATAGTAAATCTAGAGCAAAAGAAAGCATTGTCAGAAACAAAGAGAAACATTACGTCAAGAACAATAAAAGTAAAAGCAAATATAAAATGCGATGTTTTAAGAATTAAATTCTTAATAAAGTTCTTTTATACATTTCAAATATTAGGATATCACATAGGTAAATTAATATTTTGTTCAATTCTTACTAATATAAATGCGAAAGGTTATATGGATGGATATTTGTTAGACTATGTAACCTAAACTGCTGAACGGATCTCGATGAAATTTGGCGTAGTTGTAGAGGATAGTCTGGTAGAACACATAGCTTACTTAATTTTTTTTAATACTACGTAGACGGAATCGCGGGCAAAGGTTAGTTGAATTAATAAATCTTTTCAACAAATGCAGACATAAATCTGTTTGGACGTCTTTGGGTGAGAATCAATATAGATTGTAATTCAGGGTCTAATACCGGAACTCCTGTCACATCAATTCTCATGCACCTCGCACTGAATAATAAAGATTTACTTGAAGTACGGACACCTGCTAATACCTCGATAGAAGGAAATTTACGTTGAAAATAGGGAAATAACTTAATAAGAATGAATTTTACAATCTAATTTAGATGATACATATTGGTAGAATTATAATATCGATATAAAGAGTAATGATTTTTCATTCATTGACATAACTAAAATTTAAATTTTATGAAAAGTATGCGCTTTATTTTAGTTTAGATATGCACAATTTATTTTGAAAAGAAAATATTACATTGTGCAACCGATGTAAAAACAATAGGTAACATTTAAAAAAACAATTCATATACCTGTAAATTATACTATTACATGTTTACAAAAAAATACGTGATTTAAATAATAATATAATTGCAATTTTATACTGTAATAACAAGTGTTTGAGCAAGAATATTTCGAAAATTGTCATCCAATAGTCTTAAGAGCATCCGTGAGATTCTCACATTTAAAATTGTCTCTGGACAAACGGTCTTAAGCCCTAAAAGTGCACAGATAAAAAAAGACTGCAACATTCAACGTTTCGCAGGTAATCTGAGCCGTGAGGCTTTTAAAGTTTTTTGAATAAGAAACTTCAAAGCGCTTTGAAATAGCTCAGGGAGTGTTTATTCAAGGAAGTACACAAGCACAAAGGAAAAATGAGCAACTAATAACAACGCCTTGAAATGAACAAAACTTCTAAAACAATCTTACTAATATTATATAGATAGATGGATGATTGTAGCCTAAACTGCTAAACGGATCTGAAAGAAAATTGAAGATGGAAAGCAGTCTGAAAGAACACATAGGCTACTTACTGTTATTTTAAATTCCACGTAGACGCAGTCGCGTGCGAGTCAGTAATATATACAGTATTAATAACTATGTTCTCTAAAATATGGTTGTTTGGAAATCCTCACTAGATTATAAATTCGCAATAAACCTTCCCTTTTTTGCTTCATATAAGAATGCAATGCAATTTTTAATTTTTCTAAACTAATATCATAATGAGGAAAAATTTGTATTTTTAATTTATTTTACTATTAGAAAGATAATTTATCTGTTAGTAACATTGGCTATGTTTTCTTTATTATTTTTTAATTTCCCACGAAATAAGTTGCGAGAAATAGCTATTAGAAGAAATATAAGTAATTTATTATTAACCATAGATTCTAGAAGGGTATGGATACGTCAGTAAAGACTTTAGACGATCGTTCGTTACCGCCTAGACGAAATTAGATAGCTAGAATAGATATTTTCAATATCATGCCTGATTAAAATTTTCCAATTAACTGGTTCGTTTAATTTGAAAGTTCATGGCCGCGGTAGCAACTGCGCTGTAAGTGAAATAACATTTTGTGTGGCAAAGTTCCAGTGCAGCCGAGCATCTGTCGGCTATCGGCCGGATATTGAGCCCACTGACCGGCTTCAAATATTTACTTAACACGTGTGCAACTAAATTGTATTTAATACCAACATTTAAATATACAAGTCGTATATCTGTCAAATATTTTTTAAATATTAAATTTTATGTTTTTTTTTGTTCGTATTTTATGTTCAAGTGTATTATGTTCAATGTGTTTTTGAGCTGATTAAATGTTTATTATTATTAAATAGATGACACTTTGGTCCGACCACTGATCTGTATAAATGGATCGGGGTCTTCCATTGAAAAAACTTTTGGTTCTTAGCGACTTAAGTGCGTTTTAATGTTAATGCTAATTCTATCTTTATTATTAGTTCAAATTCTCAGAAAATTTATAGAAATGAAAAATAAAAAACTCTATATCATGTAAACATTATTCAATAAATAATATTAAAACAACTAAATATAAATTGTTTTTAAATAAAAAGTGGAAAAAATTAAACGTAAGTCAATAGACAACGAAAATAGCCCACCAAACGAAAATATCTCATTCGGGTAGTAACTCTGAAATAAAAATGAATTTCTTGTAACATCACGGACAATCTTTCAGACAAGACAAGACAGACTAAGTTTTTTTTTAAATCTTACTTCTTACTAATATTACAAATGCGAAAATTTGGATGGATGGATATTTGTTAGAGTTTGTAGCCATAATCTAAAAGGATCTCGATGAAATTTGATATAGAAGTAGAGGATAGTCTAGAAGATCACGTAGGCTACTCATATTTGCTTGTTTTTAATGTTACGCGGACGGAGTCGCGGGGAAAAGCTACTTAAATAAAATGTAATATTTAAAATATAAGTATTACCTTTAAATCCGATTAGTTTGAATTGCTTCTTAACGTTATTTTTCTGGTGGAGGCATATGTGATACTCTGCAAATAAACAAAAATAGTCATTACCTACGAATTAATTATCTAAATTTATTTTGAAAAAATACTACAATAAGAATGTAGGAATGGGGACAAATAAAAAAAAGATATTGCAAATGGTCAATACGTGTCCCCAGTATGACCTGTATTTGCCACTTTATATTATAAAAAAATGACTTAGTGAATCCATTTCCATTGCTAATTGTTTTTTAAGGAGAAAGTTACAAAAAAATATAAAAACTTTCACCATATTGCAACAACATATGTAACTAATTTCATTGTGTACTTAATAAAGTGGTATAATAAAGAATTCGATTGCACCCCAAAACATATTCACAATAAATAATACAAGCACAAAATTAACAATAAGAAACCTTTTTTTAAATTCTGTACATTCTAATAGTAGGAATATATAACCTTACTAGCTGTTGCTCGCAACTTTGCCCGCGTAGCATTAAAAAAATAATAATAAAAGCAGCCTGTTACTCACAGATAAATCACCTTACAATCACCAGTTTTTGAGTTATTTATAATACATACAAAAATACAAATCTTTCCGCTTTATAATATTAGTAAAGATAAAGATTATTGTAGATAAATATGTTACTTCTTACTAACATAAATACAAAAGTTTGAATGGATATTTGTTATTAAATCTCGAAAACGGCTTAACGAATTTAAATTTGGCACAGATAGAACATAATCTAAAACAAGACATAGTTTTTTTTTTTAATTTCATGCGGAAGAAGTCGTTAACAGAAGCTAAAATAAAATACTCACCGCTCTGTTTGATAGACCTCTTTAATTGATCGCGTTTTAATTTCCGGCAGGGGAGGATGTGTGTAAGTGATCGGCAGATTGCATTCGTAGCCGAAATTGAACAATTGCGACTTGATGTGACACTTCAAGTCTTGCGGCCTCGGGTACAGAGATGCCAGTTCTGGAAATATTACAAACTGTCTAATAATTTACACATATGTTTTTGGACATTTTAGGAAGTATACATATAGATTTGTAAGTTTTAAAAGCACTTTATGAGTTAAAATAATTGTTTAATCGCAAGTTGATTCCTATGAGCTTATATGGAGGTTCGTTACTCGATTTCTAGTTGTGCAACTAAACAGTTGAATTGGCTATGAAACAATCGACAATCTACAGTTGTGCGATAGTTTAGTCAAAGGTGAGCGCTCTAATAACAAAAAAAAATCTCTTTACTATTTACATGTACTCAAGCTTAAGTGTTAACATTTTAACAATAAGGAAAGAAACGCACTTGCTGTATAACACATTTTACAAACTTCGACAGCAATAGATAAAGACACAGATTGTATTTGTTGCAGCGGCGGATAGAGACGTCCGACAGACAAGTCTTCTTCCGTCACAAAATTTGCTAACGTCTGTAAAAGATTTCTTTTTAGTGTATAGGGTACCTATACATGTTATTAGAGTACAAATTGGTTAACATTGATATTACAAGAAGTTGTAATACATAACACTCTAAAGTTATGTAAATTAAAAAATATTGTCGGGCCAATGGGAAATAAAATCCCCTTTGAGTCGATTGATCGGTTGACCGATAGACCTAATGGGAAACTTTATATTACTTATTATTCTTCAATCTTACTACCTTAAACATAAAGTTACTTAAAGTTTGGATGGATATTTGTTAGAGTTCGAAGCCTAAACTGCTAAGATCACGATGACAGATGTAAAGCATAATCCGGAAGAACGCATAAGCTACTTTCTTTCTTTTAAATTCCAGGTAGACGGATTCGCGGGCGATAGCTAGTATAAAATGATTTAATCAATTTGACCCACCTGAGCTGCAGTTAGAAACATTTCATCAGTTATTTTATACGCTCTAACAACAATCACACCGAGAGCTAAACCGGGAAATATATAAGCGTTGTTTCCTTGACCCGTGTGATATTTCTTCCCTTGATAATCAACCGGAGGGAACGGAGATCCAGACACGAACAAACATTTACCCTTAAAATGTAAGCAACTTTAATAATATTAAAACGCACATGAAAACATCATATGAAATATCCTTGATTTGATAAATCTTTAAACGATCTACTTTTTGTATTAAAACAGACTTGTAAAGACCGTAACAGGAAACGTAGAAATCTCAGTGAAGGAGTGTTAAAATGTTTTTAGTGTATAAGGTGGCAACAAGCGAACGGCCACCTGAAGTCTCGGCGACGCGAAGCGACCGCTACCCATAGAAAGCCCCAATTTTTCCTTTCGCATATAAGAAAGGGTTGAGAAGGGAAAGGTATCTAGGATTATAGATATTGAACTCAAGATAGGTAAGTGAATGTTCATTTATGTTAAAGAAAACTTTTTCACACTTACGTTCGTATTGTCGTATGCTTGTTGTGCGGTACATTCCGCGCTAGTGGTGGGATTCGATAGTGCAAATATGATCGGTATTTCCGCATTCTGTGCCATTTGTTTCAGTATTGCAGGTGTGAACGCACCGCCGACAGTTGAACAACCTAACACGTATACGATATTATTGTTAACGAATATAATACCTATGAAAACGAAAGACGAAGGTAAAGATACAGTACAATCCACGTAAATGTATAGAACCAAATAAGTGAATAATCATACCATAGGCATCAGCAATAGCAGATGCGTCGCCTACCCTTTATCGAC